ACCCCCCCCCCCCCCCCCCGCCCTCCCCGTGAGGCCCAGAATCCGGGTGTGACGAACTGGGACTGGGTCTTAGGCCTGGTCTACACTACGAGTTTAGGTCGAATTTAGCAGCATTAAATCAAATTAACCCTGCACCCATCTGTGACGAACTGGGACTGTTCTTAATGTGGTCTGTGAATGCTGACAGGGGAGTGTGGCTAGGATAGTCTGCATTGGGGGATGGGAGACTGACCTACGGAGAATACCTGAGCATGTAACATGAGAACCCAGGAAGGGGTTAAAGGCCAGGTGACACCTTTGCCCGGGGAAACTGAACAAAGGCTGTGGGAGGGGTCGCTGAAGGCAGAGTTTCAGGAGCTGGCTGGTGATGTGGCTGGGAGGCAGACAGGGCTCTGACCTCCCAAGGGGGCTGGGGCACCCTGGGACCCCAAGATGGACTTATCTGAGGGGGGTCCTGTTGTCTGTGCCTGCAAGACCTGTCTTGGACTGTATTCCTGTCATCTAAATAAACCTTCTGCTTTACTGGCTGGCTGAGAGTCATGGTGAATCGCAGGAAGCCGGGGGTGCAGGGCCCTGAGTCCCCCATACTCCGTGACACCGGGCTCCAGCCCGAGCCCGAACGTCTCCGCTCCAGCTTTATAGCCACAGCCCAAGCCCTGCAAGCCCGTCAGCAGATGCAGGTATTTTACTGCAGCGGAGACACGCTCAGAAAACCTTTCACAAGGTCCCTCGCCAATGGCTCTTACACCAAGTGAGCTGTGATGGGATAAGAGGGAAGCTCCTCTCATGGGTTGGTAACTGGTTAAAAGACAGGAAACAAAGGGCAGGAAGAAATGGTCAGTTTTCACAGTGGGGAGGGATGAATAGTGGGGTCCCCCAGGGGTCTGTACTGGGACCAGCGCTGCTCAATATATTAATAGATTATCTGGGAAAAGGGTAACCAGTGAGGTGACAATGTTCAGTGTCTATACGTAACTCGTTACCTATCTCCATACGCCCATGGCCAGTGCAACACAGGCGTTCAGTAAAGACCTCACACCACGTCCCTGGGCGAACTCGTATGTAGCTACCAGACCCAAGGGACCCCTGTAACCCCATATGCCCCCCTGGGCCCTCGGCCAGTTGCCATCGGGAGGCCGCTGGGTCAGCATCCTTCTCCCCCACCAGGACCCGGCCCGGGAGATCCGCAGGGTCATGGACTTCTTGGAGGTGGAGCTGCCCCCGCAGGTGCTGGAAAAAATTGTCCAGCAAACGTCCTTCCAGATCATGAAGGAGAACCCCATGACCAACTACAGCAGTGTCCCCAGCACCATCTTCGACCAGACCGTCAGCCCCTTCATGCGCAAGGGTGAGCGGGGGGAAAGGGGACCTGGGGGTTGTGGGGAACCCGCCCCGCCCCCACCACTGGCTTTGTCTGGAAAGTTCCCTGTACCCTCGTCTGTAGCCCATTGGTACAGGGCCTGGGCGACTTGAGCAAGGTACTGTGGGTAATGCCTGCTTGGTCTGAAGCCATGCCTCATTACCTATAGTCCCTTGCAGGGGGTCATGCTCACTTGGCATTAGCTCCCCATAATGTCACAGGCGGGGGGCGAGGGGGGGGGTCGTGTCCTCGTAGCTCTTCCCAGGGATTCTGGGTAAGTCCTGTTGGGCTGGGTCCCCATGGCGTTCTTCCTGGCGGTCCTGTCCTGGGCCCAGTCGGCTGGGGAGCATGGTACGGCGGGGGGGGGGCTCCCTGGAGCTGGGGTCCCCTGCCTGGGGGTGGAAGGCACTTCCTGGGGAAGGGGCAGCTGCTGCTGCTGGTGGGGGGGGTCTCACCACTAATACCCCCCTCTCCTCCCCAGGCCAGGTTGGCGACTGGAAAAACCATTTCACCGTGGCGCAGAGCGAGGCGTTCGACGCCCATTACCAGCGCCGCATGGAGGGGACCGGCCTGCACTTCCGGACCCAGATCTAGGCCCCGCCCCGCGGGTGCGGACAGCCCCCCATGAACGGTGCTGCAATAAAAGTTTACCTCCTGACCACGGACATTGTGATACCTGGGAGGGGGTATCATGGGGTGGGGTGGGGTGGGGGCTGGTGCCGCAGGAAACTTCCCCTTCAGCCCGAGACAGGATGTCCCACCAGGGCCACCCTGGCCCCAATGGCGCCCCCCCTCCAAGTGTCCATCCCCCCTCCCCCCCGGGGCACAGGTGTTGCTGGGAGCGTGAGTCGCACCGCAGAGCTCACACGCCAGGAAGGGAAGTCCAGGGCACACTGTGGGGGTGGGGTCAGTGTACACACAGATCGATATGGGGGTGGGGGGGGCCGAGCTGCATTTCCTCCATGGTGCTGTGTAAATAGCAGTGAACTCAAGGTTGTTCTCTGTGAGCCAGGGAAAGGGAAAAGGGGCTTGGCTGGGAGGCCCTGCCAGCCCCACAGGAAAAGAGGGCGACTCTGGGGGGACAGATTCCATGGGGCTGGGGGTCTCCGCAGTCCCCTCGTCCCCAGACCCGCTAGCAAGCAAGGAGTGTAACCCTTTGACCTGAGCAGCTAGCCCCAAATCCAGCAGCTTGTTCCCGTTCGGAGCAGAACTCGGCGGCCGTCGGGGAGTTCTTTGATGCAGTTTTGTTTATTTAAAGACTGGACAAAGTCCTGTGTCGCGGAACGCAGAGAGACGCAAATCGCAGGAAGCTGTGGGGTGTGTGTGTGTGTGTGTGTGTTTGCTCAGAGCACCAAGACCGCTCTTCCCAGCCTGCACCCCACCCAAAAGCCTCTCCGCCTCTTTCTTCCAGGGGCAGACACCGCGCTGCGGCCGCTCCTCCAAGCTGGCTCTGATTCTCGCAGGCCTGGTCTACACTAGGACTTTACTCCGGCCTAGCTACAGCCCTCAGAGGTGTGAAAATCGACACCCTTGAGCGCCCGTTATACCAACCTCACCCCCAGCATAGACAGCGCTAGGTCGAGGGACGAAGTCTCCAATCGACCTGGCTACTGCCTCTCGGGGAGGTGGATACCGACGCCGATGGGCCAAGTCCTGGCGCACGCAGCGTCTTCACTGACGCGCTGGTTAGATAAGCCCCCAGCCTTTCAGTTTTGGGTCTGTTCTGGCTTCCCACAGCCACAGGCGCCCCTGACCCAAAACCATCCTCGGCACCACTCGGGCAGGCTGCCTTCGCCTTTGTCCTGTCCTGGCAGCCACTAACCGAAGGGTGAGTTCGCACCTGTCAATCTCAATAAGAATTGAAATCAACCCCTAAGGTGGTTTCACCCAACTGCTGTACTACGCCCCAGTGAAACGGACTAGCCACCCCCTGGGAAAGCCCCCCCCCCCATCCTGACACCCTAACGCAGGTCTGTAACTCCCCCCCCCC